TTTACAAGATGCATGCCAGAAATTTTACCAAGGCTTCTTCGACAGAACCTTTCAAACCTACGACCAGTTCCATCCGGAAAGACGAGAACAGCAGATACATGGAAACACCATCAGCCACAAGTTCACCTCCAAGCTACTTACCATCCTGATTTTGAAAGATATTGTCACTACTTCAGCATCACTCGGCCAAAATCCTGGAACTCCCTCCTTAGTGGCATTGTGAGTGTACCTATTGCAAATGGATTGCAGCAGTTCAAGACGGCAGCTAACCACCATTTTTTCAAGGGAACCTAGGGATAGGCAATAAGTGCTGGCCCAGCCAATGGCATCCACATTCCACGAATGAATTTAAAAAAAAACTATACCTTAAACATACTCAGAAACCTGAGCCTCCACACTTTCTGCGGCAGAGAATTCCCAAGGTTCAAAACCCTCTGACTAAAATTATTGCTCCACATCTCAGGTCTAGGTGGTATCCCCCTTATCTTGAAATTGTATCCCCTGTTATTAGACTCCCAGCTATGGGAAACATCTCTACCTTGCCTGTCCCTTTTAGGTGTTTTATAGATTTCAATGAGGTCACCTCTTATTCTTCGAAACTCTCGAGAATGCAGGACCAGCTTGCCCTGTTTTTCTTAATAGGATAGTGCTGCCATCCTAGGTACAAGTCTGGTGAACCTTTATAGCAATATCTCTCTCACTTAGTTTTCTATCATCTGCAAATGTGGAAATATTATATTTAGGGCTTTCCTCCAAATCATTGATATATATTGTACTGATACTTGTGGCACCCCACTAGTCATAGCCTGTCAATGTCAGAGACTCTTTATTCCAACTCTCTATTTTCCCTTATGCAATCCTTAATCCATGCCTTCCACTACTCCCTGACCCATGTGCTTTAATCTTTCAAATTGGCCTCCTGTAGGGGATTAAACGTCTTCTCAAAATCTAAGTACGTCCATCAGCTCTTATCAATTTTGTTAGTAACATTTTCAAAATTCTCCAAGTTCATCCCATGCTTTATGTTAAATTCTAGCATTTTCTCTGTTACTGATGTAAGCTTAACAGATCTATGCTTTCCGTTTTCTCTCTTGCTCCCTTCTTAAATGGTGGGGTGACATTTGCCACCTTCTGATCTGCAGGAATTATTCCAGAATCTATAGAATGTTGGAAGATTTATCCACTATCAATGTATCCACTATCTCTGTAGGTCCCTCCTTCAACACTCTGGGATAAAGACTGTCAGATCCTGAAGATTTATCAGCTTTCAGCCCCATTAATTTATCCAGTTGAATCTGCTTAATTGTACAAATTTCCTTCAGCTTCTCATTCTCCCTCATTACATCTTCCGCAGCAAAAATTGACTCAAAGTAGCCATTTAGGTTCTCTGCTACTTCAGTATTTCCTATTATAAATTCCTTTAGTTCCATCTTTAATGGATCCACCTTTGTTTTGGTGAAAACCTTTCCTTTTTAGATACCTTTAGAACCTTTTACAGTCCATTTATGTTTTTGCTAGATTGGTTTAATAGTCTATTCTCCCTAACAGCTTCTTGTTCATCCTTTGTTATATTCTATAAATCTCCCAATCCTCAGAATTACTGATAATTCTGGCAGCTCTGTAGGCTTTTTCTTTAAATCATACACAATATTGAACTTCATTTTTAACCATGTTTGGCTGTTATTTTTGGGATTTTTGCATCGTGAAGGAATGCATCGTTGCTGTAAGTGACACAATAGTTCTTTAAAGACTATCCATTGCCTATGTACAGTCATGCCTTTTAATGTATTTTCCCAATCCACCCCAATTTGTTCCTCATGCCTTCATAACTTCCCTCATTTAAATGCAACACCCCTGTCTTAGAGTAAATTACCTCACTTTCAAACAAAAGTGGTTAAGATGATACATGGGATACTTACCTTTATTAGCTAAACCATAGAGTTTAAAAACAGTGATTGCACTGGAGACAGTGCAGAGGAGATTTATCGGGATGTTGCCTGGACTGGTATGTTTTCATTATGCAGAGAGATTGAACAGACTGCGGTTGCTTTCCCTGGAACACAGAAGATTTATGGGCGATGTGATTGAGATGTATAAAACTATGAGGGGCATAGACAGGTTAGGCAGGAAGGAACTTTTTCCTTGGTGGAGGGATCAATAACCTGAGACATAGATGTAAGGTAAGGGGCAGGACATTTAGAGGAGATGCGAGGATTTCTTTTTTTCCACCCAGAGGTTTATGGAATCTGGCAATCACTGCCAGTAAGGGTGGTAGAGGCAGAAACCCCAATAACATTGAAGAAGTACTTAGATGTGCACTTGTAATGCCAAAGCACACAAGGATATGGACTAAGTGCTGCAAGTGAGATCAGTGATTGTTTGTGATTTGTGCAGGCTTGATGGGCCAATAGGCCTTTTTCTATGCTGTATAGACCTCTCTATCTCTAACGTAAAATAGAGGCAAGAGGTTTAAGATGAGATGGCAGTTTATAGGAATAGAAGGATTTTTTTTACAGAGCGAGGTGGCTGTAGAAAATTTGAAGAAGGAAACAGAGCATGAGGAAACAAAACTATCTAATATGGAAACATAGGAGAGAAAGTAGGGCATCAGCAATTTAATCAGAGTGATTTGTAGAAGAAGAAGCTTGGTCCAGTGAAGCTTGGAGAGGACCTTGGACAGAAAGTAGAGGAAAATGCAGTTCAGGGCTATGTCATTGGGAATTCTTTGAGAAGTTTCATCCCTTGGGCCACAGGATGGGAGGGGAGTGGTAGAGGTCAGATGGTAGCTGATCAGTTAGCCTCAATCTTTATGGTGAAGAAGGTCACGAGCTCCTCACATTTAGCTGAGGCAAGAGAGAAGCAGACAAGGAGGAGGCTTTAGGGAAAATGATTTAGAGATAGTAGGAACTGCAGATGCTGGAGAATCTGAGATAACAAGGTGTAGAGCAGGATGAACACAGCAGGCCAAGCAGCATCAGAGGAGCAGGAAAGCTGACGTTTCGGGCCTAGACCCTTCTTCAGAAATGGGGGAGGGGAAGGGGATTCTGAAATAAATAAGGAGAGAGGGGGAGGCAGATAGCAGATGGACAAAGGAGAAGATAGGTGGAGAGGAGACAGACAGGTCAAAGAGGCGGAGGTGGAGCCAGTAAAGGGTAGTGTAGGTGGGGAGTTAGGGAGGGGATAGGTCAAGGGGACCAGATGAGGCTAGTAGGTAGGAGATGGGGGTGGGGCTTGAGGTTGGAGGAGGGGATATTTGGGAGGAAGGACTGGTTAGGGAGGCCTGGATAAGCTGGCCTGGTTTTGGGATGCAGTCAGGGGAGGGGAGATTGTGAAGTCCACATTGATACCATTGGGCTGCAGGGTTCCCAAGCGGAATATGAGGTGCTGTTCCTGCAACTTTGGGTGGCATCGTTGTGGCACTGCAGGAGGCCCAGGATGGACATGTCGTCTGAGGAATGGGAGGGGGAGTTGAAATGATTCGCGACTGGGAGGTGCAGTTGTTTTGTTCGAACTGAGCGTAGGTGTTCCGCAAAGCGGTCCCCAAGCCTCCGCTTGGTTTCCCTGATGTAGAGGAGGTCTGATTTAGAGAAAAAGAAACTAGGAATTATTTTTGCAATACAGAACAATCAAGCAGTTTTGCCAGACCAGAGCACGACCTGATAGTGCCTTATATGGTCTGACCAGCTGTACGCCGATCTGAGTATGCTATGTGAGGTTGTACAGGCTCTATTCATTATCAATTCAAACTAGTTTTATTATTTTCCAGCTTACTGCGGACTTATCAGAACCATAAAACGTACTTCCATGCTGTGATCGTTGGAATCCAGCTCAGAGTTGCACAGATCTGCCACACTTGTCTCCTCAATCTGCCCTCCCAGGCCAGTCAAATACGTTGTGCTATCCCTCTCAGTTTCAATGAAGTCCAGCTCAGATGGCCAGATGGCTGATTTGCAATGCAGCATTGGTTCAATTTCAGCACAGGCTGAGGTTATTATGAAGGCCTCTCCTTCTCAAGCTGTACTTTTGCCTGAGGCATGGTGACCCTCAGGTTAAACCACCACCAGTCCCCTCTCTCTCTCTAATGAGAGAGCAGCCCTGTGATCCAATGGAACTGCGGGTATTGAGCAATGTCAAATTGACTAAAACTTGTCTGTAGAGTGACAAGAACAATTCCTTTCGTATCAAAGCCTCGACAATGGGTCATGGGTATTAATAATTGCAGCAGTATTCATGTGCTTTGTGAGAGGGGAGCGTGGTGCAGCAAGTGGGGAGGATGGATATACAGCAGCTCAGGTGCTCAGCACACTGGAGCCTTGCAAATGTTCGCTTGTATTTTGTTCATTCCGGCAGAACCCCTCCCATTACTTCTGTTAGTAATGATACAGAACTCGATGAAATGGCGAGGCTGGAAATTAACGCCTTGCTGGTTTCACCTTGAATTTTCCTTAAGTTTATTTTTAGAAATATTTCAGGAAGTGAATTCAATTGCTGTTGTTTAAAGATAAAAAGTTGTGCCCAGCCTGTAGAAAAGGTTAATTTAAATGTGAAATTATGTTGAAAAGAGGTTGAACTCCAATATTTGAAGAGGGTCGACAGTTTCTACCCCGGAATATACTAGTTACATATATCTTTGGGACTCCCATTAATCTCTGGAGACCACCAACTATTTTCCTTCCTTTATCAATGAAAATGATTCTATTACAATGCATGGAATAAAATGGCATGAAAGTCCAGTTCCATTAATAACGTGGGGGTGCGGCACCGTGATCAGAAGATTTAAGGGGCACCGACACTGACAAACATTGTATTTTCTAAAATTCAGACAGTGTCCAGTCCCCACAGCCAGGTAATATTGTCGCCTGCAGGACACGCGGAGATGACCAAGGGCCGTTCTATCTGATGAGATATAACCCATAGAAATGTTTCAATAATCGATCGATCGTAATGCCTGATCAAGTTACAATCTGTATGAAATATAACTGCTCCACAATGTTTCCTACCTTCGCAAATTCTCCAGAGTCCAGAATGGGAATTTAAATCTTCCCAATGCTCCCCATAGTAATATCTGGAGTTTGAGACGTCGATGATGTACCAATAATCCGTACCAATCGCTACCGCCAGGAACACAAAACTTAAAAGACCCGTTAAACCGGCCGTCACGCACACAGTTCCAACCGACATCTTATTCCAAATATCGCTCATTGTGCCAGGCAAGGTTATTTTATTGCGTTGAATCCTCTCCTTTCGGCATTTTCCTGTCCGCTGACAGTGCTCACACAGCCACCTTCGTCAGTGTGAATTTCCTTCTGTGCGACTGCTTTTCTGATGGCAGAGGTGCAGCGAGATGAGAAATGAAACCAACGCTTTAAAGGCGAGAAACGAGAGAGATTGAACATGCAACTTGGTCCTTTGAGCCAAGGGAAGGAAGAAAGTGACAGGGACAGCTGGTTAGATGGCCTTGCTCTTGGTCCAGGGGCGGGGTAGGAAAGATAACTTCATGGAAAGCGACTTTCAGAAAATGGTTCACAGTTTTAAAAAAAAATTTCATTCCAGGACGATCCTACAGCAGTAAGCAGATTTTAATGAGACCAGAGCACGAAAAATAATGCTTTCTGTGCTCCAACTCTATTGCTTGGTCTTTAGTTCTGATAAAGAGTTGTCAGACTCGAAACGTTAACTGTTTTCGGCTCTCAGATGCTGCCTGAACTGCCGAGTATCTTCAACAATTTGTTTTTGTTTCAGCTCTATTCTATTCTGCGAATAAAGTGCGGAGGCTGTGTTCATTATCCATCCAAACCAATATCCCCTCAACTTCTCATCTTTGGTCTTTGTTTAACCGAGCGATATTTGGCCCCCATTGTAAATGGTACTCTTCAGCATATCGACATCGACTTCCAAGACTTGGCTACTTAAAATAAGCCAAAATTCTTGGATATTACAGCTAAGTAGTATTAACATTGGTCCACGTTTTAAAACAAATTATCATATCCAGGGTGGCCGTTTCAGTTCTATAAAGCTTAATGGCCACCAGAGAATTCCATTTATTTCTAATGGCCTTCTTCCTGCTGGTTACCTTTACATTCTCAGTCCTCATAAGTTCAGTACAATAGAGTACACAGTGATCAGCTGTGGTGGCGATTCTTTCCTCGTGTCCTCTTCCACAACATTTTGGCACTAATATCAAAAGTTAATGAAAATTACTGCGGGTGCTGGGATAAAAGCGGGGTGCTAGAGAAGGTCAGCTGGTCCCGCAGTATCGTCGATGGAGAGAGAAACAAAGAGAACGTTTCAGACTCGGGAGTCGAAACGATAACTTTGTTTTGCTCTCCATAGATGCAGCAGCCATACTTGGAAATTTCTCCAGCACTTTCTGCTTTTAATATCAACTTCTATTTCATTTTGAACAGTACGCCATGCAGAAGGTATAACTTCAGTCAACTCTAAATTGATTAGAAAATTATCAATGGTCATAGCTTTTTCACTCTTATAACCCCCAACAAACACATCAAGCCGATCAGAGTCGACTGGGACAAAAAAAACAGTTCGTTTTGATGGTGCTGTTATACATGACCAGAACAGCAGCAGCAGTCCCAACACCAAGGAGTGGTGAAATATATAACATCCGCGGCGATCATCAGGCAGTTGTCTCACGCGAAACAATCAAATTATGGTTTTTAAGAATGAAAATCTCTGCAGCTAAACAAGTCCTGGAACAGTTACTGAGTTTTAGGAGTGCGACAGATCCATCAAATAACTGTCATAGGTTTTATTTTTGTCAGGATTGGCATCTGGTAAGGATTTCCTGCTGGAGTAAATGTACCACAAAATACACAATTAAGTTATGGAGTCATACAACACGGAAACAAACTCTTCAGTCCAACTAGTCCACGCCAACCGTACTCCCAAATTAAACTAGTTCCACGTGCCTGTGCTTGGCCCATATCCCTCCAACCATTTCTTATTCATTAACTTATCCAAATGTCACTGTACCTACATCCATTTCCTCTGGAAGTTCATTCCACAAGCTAACCATTCCGTGTAAGAAAAAGTTGCCCCGATGTCTTTAAATAATTTACCTCTCACCTATAAAAATATGCCCCTAGCCTCCAAAACCCTCACACTAGGGAAAAGACACTTGCCATTCATCTTAGCTATACCTCTCATAATTTTATAAATCTCTACAAGGTCAACCCTCAACATCCTACACCCTAGTGAAAGAAGTCCCTGTCTATTCAGCCTCACTTTCTAACTCAAACCCTCCATTCCCGGCAACATCCTGATAAATCTTTTCTGAACCCTCTCCAGCTTAATAATAACCTTGCTGTGAGGGGGTGATGAGAACTGCACACAGTACCCCAGAAGAGGCCTCACCAACATCCTGTACAATTTCAACATGAGGCTCCAACTTCTATACTCAAAGGTCTGAGCAATGAACGTAAGCATGCTAAATGCCTTCTTAACCACTCTGCCTACATGGGATGTAAGCTTCAAAGAATTATGTACCTGAGCCCCTGGGTCTCTGTTCTACGCTAGCCAAGGCCCTACTTTTAATTATATAAATCCTGCCTTTGTTTGTTTTACCAAAATGCAACACCTCACATTTATCCAAATTAAACTTCATCTATCACTCCTCAGCCCATTGACCCAGTTGATCAAGATCTCTTAGCAATCTTAGATAACCTTCTTCACTGTCCACTATACCACCAATTTTGGTGTCATCCGCAAACTTGCTAACCATGCCTTCTATATTCTCATCTAAATCATTTATACAAACGATAAAAAAAAGTGAGTCCAGCAACCCTGCTGGGGCTTTTGGACCCAAAGTGGACCCTGTTGAACACCGCTGGTAACAGGCCTCCAGTACTAAAAACAACCCTCCACCACCACCCTCTGTCTTCTACCATTACGCCAATTTTGTATCTAATTGGCAAGCTCACCCTGAATCCTATGCAATCTAACTTCACCAATTAGTCTATCACGTTGAACCTTGTCAAAGGCTTTACTAAAGTTTAAGTAAACAATATCTACTACTCTACCATCAATCTTCTTGGATACTCAAAAATCTTAATCACGTTTGAGAGACACAATTTCCCTTGCACAAAACCATACCGACTATCCCTAATTATTCTTTGCGTCTCCAAATGCATGTAAATACTATCTTACAGAATCACCTCCAACAACTTACCCACCAGCATAATCAGACTCACAGGTCTACAGTTCCCAGGATTCTCCTTACATCCCTCCTTAAACAAAGGCATAATATTAGAAACTCTCCAGTCAACCGGCACCTCACCTGTAGTTATAGATTATGCAAATATTTCTTCAAGTTTTCTTTCTAATTTACCATCATGTTCTGGGATATGTTAGATCAGGTCCTGGAGATTTATCCACTGTATTTTCTGAGACTTCCAGAACTTCATCTTCTGTAACGCAAAGTGTTTTCAAAATATCAATATTAATTTTCCTGAGTTCTCTGGCCTCTATTTCTTTCTCCACAGTAAAAACTGACAAAATATTCATTTAATATCTCTCCAGAGGCTCAACACAAAGATGACTTCTTTGATCTTTAAAGCAACCCCACTCTCTCTCTAGTTGTTCTCTTAATCTTAATTACTTGCAGAATCTCTTTGGATTGTCATTAACCTTATCTGCATAGGCTGTCTCATATCCTCTCTTTGCCTTCCTGATCTCCCCTTTAAGGATGGCTCTGCACTCTTTATACTGTTCAAGAGATAGAAGTTATTAATACATAGCCTAAAAAGAGATGCTACGGGTTTGATGGACCAAATGTCGACAATCTATGCTGTAATAACTCTACACAGAAATCTCTAACCTTAGAAAGTCAGTCTTAAAAATCATCCTCAACTCGGATGACAACGTTAGGGATAGAGCAACAGCTTTGTCAGCCAGGTTGTTACCGTTTCAATTCAGTAATCCAAAAATGAATCCATGTGTTGGGTAAATCCTGACCATCAAGATAGGTGCAAGTGACTGTCAATTACATTGGGGAAAAAAAAAGTAATGATCAAAACAGAAACATCAAAAAGGTACTTTCATACTCATTTTCTTCATATGCTAAGATTTAAGCAGTAGGATTCATTGTAAATGAATCTAGAGGTTTATAAAATTATGAGGTATAGCTAAGATGAATGGCAAGTATCTTTCCAGTAAATTCATTGATTAAATGATACAAAGAATCTAGAAATAACATCAACATTTGTGGTGGCTTAAAGTGGTGGTCAGTTAAAGTCAGCAGTGACAACTGCACTTACAATAGTCTTCCCAATGTCAAAAGCAACTTTTTATTTTAAACAGATGTGTGTTCACAGAAACATACATAATTTATGCTCAACCTCAACTATATGACATTATTTACACAAGTGGAGGGTCAGTTATTCAAGTCAGCATGAGCCTGAGTATTTTTAAACTCACAACCAATCAATAACAGAAGTGGTGTCCAAGAAAGTGCATAATCCTGTTCATTCAAGATGGAAAATTCCTGTTATCATTTTTCCCAGTGACTAAGATGTACCATTCATAAATCAACAAGACAGATACAATTTTTGCAAAGCACAGCACTTCTCAAAATGGCAAATTTGAATTCCATTAACTAATATCCCATTTGCAAAAGAAAATAGGTATCACAATGAAACTGCAGGTTTCCATTTTGTTATTTCTGTCCTACACATCTAGTTCCATACTTGTATTTCAAATATTGTGATCAAATTTCTCTGACATTTCTGATCCATTTCCTTGCATTCATCTTCAGGTTGAAAAGAAATCTGATTATACAGAACTGGCTACCTCTTGGCATACACATTAAAGATACAACTCAAAAGACTAGGTATTAGAAAAGTACCAAGAGAGAAAGAAATAACCAGTCGGTGTTTTGGATCTTGGCTGTCAAAACATATTGCATTCAATTCCATGGAATAAAGCTTTGTGAATTTATGGTAAAAAGAAATCTAAGGGATGACAAACATCCAATTTCTAGAAAGGCATCTGTCACTAATGAAGTTGTTAGAGCCAATTCTTTAAAAGGTATTTCACCCCTCCTCAAAGCATTATCACAACTAAACTACACTTTTAAAAGGTACAAGCAGTCCTATAAACTCATTCAAATTGTCATTTTCTACAGCAGTCTAGACGGCTATTCACAGAATACATCAAATTAAAACAAAAAAAAACAAAAGAACTGCGGATGCTGGAAATCAGAAACAAAACCAGTAATTGCTAAAAAAATCTCAGCAAGTCTGGCAGCATTTGTGGAGAGAAATCAGAATTAACATTGAGTCCAGTGACCCTTCTTTCAGAACTCCACAGAATACATCAGTTTGGCCAAATCGTGCCTCCAGCTGCCAGCTAATATACATCTCCTTTAACAATCACTGACAGCTTCTTTGTCCCCCCACCTGCCTAGCTCAAGTTGGTGAACTCAATTGTAGTTATTTAAGGGGCATAGTAACAATGTTACTGGATTAATAATTTAGAGATTTAGACTAATGCTCAGGGAAAAAAAAAAGTAAAGCCAACTATACCTGGTGGGAATCTGAATACAATTAAATAAATCTGGAATAAAAGGCTAACAGTGCTTCCCAAACATTTTCCAACTCTAACCCCATTTTGAGGATTAAAAATTCTCTCAACTCCTCAGTCAGAACTGAGACTATGGGGTAGGAGGGCTGTGAAAGCAGGGAGCTTAAGAATGAGAAGAGTGCTACTATATCTGAGTCGCAGTTCCATGATAGCCAATGCTGCCTCAAAGCTCAAGACCCAAACATTTCAGTTTGTGACCCCATTTGGGGTCCCAAATCACATTTTGGGAATCTCTGAATTAACTGCAATGGTTAACTATGATACAACCAGATGGTTCTAAAAACCCATCTGATTCATAATGTTCTTCAGGTGAAGGAAATCTACCGCCCTCACTTGCTGTAGATTTTGTGGCACAATAATAGTGTCACTAACTCTGAGCAAGGAGCTTGGGTTTGCATCCCAGCTGCCCCAGAGGTGGGTCATAACATTCATGGGCAGGTTGATTTTTTAAAAACAAAAAATGCTCTAGGTTATGCATGATTCCAGACTCAAAAAAGCAATTGTTGACTCTCAACTTCCCTCACAATACGAACTAGCAAACCTTCTTGGGCAGTTGGGGATTGGGAGTAAATGCTATAATAAATGGATTCATGTAGTCAATCTTGCATTATGCAGGAATCCTGCGATAACAAATGCTAAAGTGAATTGTAGAATGAAAGTAGAAGAAGCTTGAACTAACCTGTTAAGCACGCACAATTTGCAGCACAAATACAACTTGAAACAGGACTAAGACCACACAACACACTACCCTACTCTATTATCAAATGAGATCGTGACTGAACTTCATCAAAGCCACTTCCCTAGCTAATCCTCATACCCCTCAAACCACTTGGTGGCCAAGAATCCATCTATTTCAGACATGGAAATACTAATCAAATTGACATTCACATCATTCTGGAGTAGAGAATGTCAAGGATTCACATTCCTTAGAGGAGAAGTTACTCATCTCCACATACAAATACTATAGAGCCAGCCCCTTTATCTGTAGACTATGGCCCACAACTGTAGGCTCTATTTCCATGGAAAACAACCTTTCAGAATCCATTATTTTTCATTGAGGTTTTCAATATTTTTGCTCATGAAACAATATCTTGCCAAAGTGAAAGGGTGGTGGTTCTCTTCAACTTTACTCACTGTAAGCTATTTACAATTTTTCCTGACAATTGCAGTCAGTGTTACAATTTTAATAGCAGTTATGATTGAGTTGTACATTTTGTTCATTAGTATCAGCTCATTAGGTTTCAAAAATAGCAGCCAGAAATGGCCATGTCTTACAAAACAGGATGTTCAATTAAGTCTGATTTAACAGACTGCACAAGGGTGTATTAAGACTTCTAATGGTTAACTGTCTCCCAGTCACTTGTAGCTCATAAAAACTTTTTCAATGGAAACAAACAAGCCAGCTTCAGCCTTTGACCTGTAGAGTAGAAAAGCAAATGCTAGGTAGGATCTTAGCACTGTATTGCATACTTAGCTGCCCTCGAGAGATTCTGTTAGCCACCATGAGCCACCCATGTGGATTTCTCGCTCTCTTTCCTCAATTTAATAGGCCAAAGTTGATGGGGTAAAAAGCTTCATCAGTTAATATTATTATTTTTAATTTGTCTTTGAAAAATAACTTCATTTGGATGGATCTTGAAACTCAATATTGACTACATTGTCAACCATTTTCCTCTATAGCTACACTGGAAGAACATTTTTTCTTTATTCTTTCCAGGATGGGTACAACATTGTTGTTTCTAATGCCTGATTGCCCTTCAATTGAGCATTTTGCTAGGCCCATTTTCAAAGAATAGTTAAAAGTCAACCACTTTGCTGTGACTCTGGAGTCATATGTAGGCTGGACCAACTGAGGCTAGCAGATTTCCATTTAGTAAGCTAAATAGGATTTTACAACAAATATAATGTCTTGCTTTAATTGCTTTTGCTTTGCTGAAATCTACCCAGTAATTTTTAAGATACTGTTAGAGTTTGATTTAGTGTAATTTATGTTTCAGATTTGTGGCTTTTGGGATTAGTGATCAGAACATCAGCAGCGTTCTTCGTCATGTAGCTGTAGATGTTGGAGGTGAAACACAAGCATCCAGATAACGTACATGGTCTTCACCTGAAAGTCCACTTATAATAATTAGAAAGGGAACTTGAAAGCATTTAAAGGAATGCAAACAGAAAAATAGCAGAAAGCTCCAACTGATATAATTTTGATACCGCACTTGTTTATTAAATTGCAATGTATTTCTTTAATTGGACTACTGTAGCAGTCTTTTACACAGTAGTTTATGCAGTTTTCCTGAACCTAACTCTGTCACCAAAAAAAAAATGGAAGCCACTTCTGAAGAAGGGTCACTGGACCCAAAACGTTAACTCTGATTTCATAGAATCCCTACAGTGTGGAAACAGGCCCTTCAGCCCAACAAGTCCACACCAACCATAGGAGCATCCCACCCAGACGCATCCCCCTGTAACCCACTTAATCTATACATCCCTGAACACTATGGGCAATTTAGCACAGCCAATCCACCTAGCTTGTACATCTTTGGACTGTGGGAGGAAACCCACACAGACACGGGGAGAATGTGCAAACTCCTCACAGTCGCCCGAGGGTGGAATTGAACCTGGATCCCTGGCGCTGTGAGGCAGCAGTGCTAACCACCGAGCCACCATGCCGCCACTAACTCTGATTTCTTTCCATAGATGCTCCAGATCCTGCTGAGACTGTCCAGCAATTTCTTTTTTAAATATAGAAGCCATACAGGAATTTGGTTTTGGTCAGTTAATCTATTATAGGGCAATTTAACTTTTTTGTTTCCAGAGTATGGATTGCAGCCAACAGCATACAATCAGCTAAACGGCCCACTTCTGCTTCTAAATCATATCCTCATAAATGCATCAGTCACATCCTTGTCAAAGCAACACATTAAAACTTTTTTATTTTGTGGTAAAGTTACATGATAAAATCACTGCACCTATCATAATGCAGTTACCAGAATGCTCCAGGCAGGCCCCAACATACGAATGCTTGTACTTATGAACAAGATCCCATACAGGAGTGTATTAATTTTAAAGATCCAACATGCAAATGTTTCCTCATACTTACAACCAGCTATTTTACATTTTAGTCGATTGTGTTCCAACTTACACACAAATGGACAAACATACACAAGAACAGACCCATTCGTAACCCCAGGACTGCCTGAATAATCCAAGTGAAATAACATAAAAGAATACCTGACAGAGAATATAATATTAAGGAATAGTAGACCATTTAGCTGCTCTAGGCTGTTCCAACTTTCAGTTAGAACATTGCTGATCAAGATCCTGACTCCACGTACTCACTTTGTCCCACATGTGTTGGCTCTTACGCAACAACAAAAAAGGGAGGGAGTTTTCAATTGTTTTATTTAATTTCAAAAACATTTGAATCAGTGTCTTCTTAACAATCTCAGCATTTAGTCCACTGTTATTTAAAGATTGAATCATCACATATAAAAACAGATGGATAAAGTGACTTTGACAAGGACAATTGTGCCATAATTTAGGATGGTGCCATGAGTTACCAAATCACCATTTCTGGGAAGAAAAATAATCATGCATTTCAATTAATTCCTGAATCAAACACAGCCAAGACTGTCTAGGCTGTAAGTAGAGTCAAGTATGTCTGTGCTTTAACTGTTGCAGTCACTTTTAAAAAAATACTATTCACAGATGTTATCACACACCTCTGGAGAAGGTAGGACTTGAGCCTGGACTTGCAAAGGCAGGGATTCTACCACTGCAAACTTTTTACTGGCCCACACAGGGATCGAATCTGCGACCTTGGCATTATTAGTACAACACTCTAACCAACTCAGCTAACGAGCCACACAGTCAGACAATAAGACTGAGTTATCATCAATTACACCTGCAAATGTTTAAATCATTCTTTTGTCAACCACAGTACAGGCCTGCAACACTTATAGCTCTTTACGCATCAAGCCAAGTTCCTTGTCAAGCATGCTGAAAATAGTTGATTCAATTGAAAATTCAGGAATAGACCCACTCACGATGTAAATACAGTATGTTTACAAAAATTAGACCATTAATGCATTAAGATCCAAAACAGTCAAGTCATCCATATTGAGTGCAAGTCTACTATATTCTACAAGACAATAGATCCTAAAATGACTGATCAATAGCTAGATACTTTTGCACTGGACAAGTGTAACAGTATTAAGCGGTGATATAAATGTAAATTGAAGATAAATGTATAAAGTGAAAAAGCCATCACCCCAAAAGTGAATCCTATCCTTCTGGAACATTTCTTTCTTAAGCCTCTTAACATTTCCACTCGTAGCAATGACCTGACTTGATAACAATACAATGAGATTACTTTAACCAGAATAGGAAAAGAAAATCAAGATCTAAATACTTTAGTCAAATCTAACAAGAAATCACTTATCTAGTCATTTTACATGGAACATCCCAGAAGGTAACAGACAATTCTAAAAGTATGCTGTACAATACATAGCCATAATCCTCAATTTGAGGATTCTTTCAAAAGCTCAAATGAGTTAATCAGATTTTTCTCTGGAAAAGCACTTTTTTATAAAAGAATATCTTGCATCACTAGCAATCTTTAGTAACAAAGTCTTCTATTGTGCTTCTTGTAACTTTTGCCTCTTGCTCAAACGACTCAATTCTCTCGGTGACTTGTTTCTTCTGAAAAAAGTAAACAAAAGTCCATTCTTTACCATTTTAGGCATTTCAAATTCTTCCTTCATCTGTTAACAGCACATTCCCCCACCTTTTTACAAATAAATTTTATAACTTACAACACAATTCATACAGAGTCTATACACAAAAATGGGACAGGTGGTGGTGATGGTTGGAAAAAAAAACAACTGGCCAAAACTAATTTGAATTGTACAGAATTTTGTAGAAAAGTTACATCGTCATCTGTTTTGTACTTTTAAAAAAGCAAAATTGAGAGCAAGAGCTCAATGCTAACGACTGGTTCAATATATAATTTCTAAATTATAGCTCATTCAAGTATTCTAAACAGTATCAAAAATTATAGTGATAGCAACATTATCAACAATGGTCAACCCCAACTTTTTTTTTAAACCAAACATTGCATGTCTATTGGTCATTTGTTATTACTTCAAAAGGCAACAATTTACTGAACAATTCATATTTTGGTGCAGGAAATGTACAAAATGAACAGTAGGTTGCACCAAAGAAAGTCAAGCGAGTAAAGCAGATTATTTTGCTCAAAGGGCTCTCCCCTTCTTTACTACAAAGACAGTAATTGGTTATTGGTATAGGCAGTAATGCAAAGTTGAGACAATCACATCAGTCAAAATCTTACTAGATGAGGCAGCAGGCTAAATGGGCTGGCTGACTGGCTGACTTGTTCCTAATTAGTCTTTAAGAACAGAGTATTGGATATAAATGTGGGACTTATTTTTTTCTTTATTCATTCACGGGATGAGGGCATTGCTGGCCAGGCAGCATTTATTACCCATCTCTAATTGCCCAGAAGGCAGTTAAGAGTCAATCACATTGCTGTGGATCTGGAGTCACATGTAGGCCAGACCAGGTAAGGTTGGCAGTTTCCTTCCCTAAAGGACATTAGTGAACCAGATGGGTTTTTCCAACAATCGGCAATGGGTTCATGGTCATCATTAGGCTCTTAATTCCAGATATTTATTGAAATCAAATTCCACCATCTGCCGTGGTGGGATTCGAATCCTGGTCCCCAAAACATTATCTGCTCTCTGGATTAACAGTCCAGCGATAATACCACTAGGCCATCTCAAACATACTTCCAGCAACTGATTCAAAAATAGCACTTCAGCATGCACCAACTATAGTACTGGGAGAAAGTCTCAAAAAAATAAAGACTGCCCGAGTAAACCTCATGCCTTTCTTCGACCTGTGGAGGAGTTTACCATAGAATAAACAATAGCAAGTTAAATGGACATGCGAACTAACCATGATATTCTTTACTCTCTCCTTGTCCAACTTGAGAAATTCTTCCGTTGTTAAATCTTCAAATTTCTTCTTCAACAGGATGAAAGCACACTTTGAAGAATGGCTTTGATGTTCAACTCTAGGAATGAATGTGAAAGTTAGATCGGTATCCTCTTATTGCACTTGCCCATTAAGTTCACTAGGCGTACAACTTGCAAAACAGCAAAGAATACCACCTGCTGAGGGATTAATGATTCTGCTATCTGAAGCTTATGTACAAGCATAAAAAGGTATCAAAAGAGTAATGGGATGTTTGCCTTTATTTCAAAGGGGCAGGAATTCAAAAATGATGTGATCATTCAGCTGTAACATTTGTTGTCCATATCTAGTTGGCCTCAAGAAGGCGGAAATGAACTGTCTTCTTGTACCGTTTCAGTCCATTTGCACCCACAATACCATTAGGGAGAGATTCCAGGATTTTGACCCAGCCGCACCAAAGGAACTGCAATACATTTCAAAGTCAGGACGGTGACAGACTTGGCAGAAGAACTTGCAGGCAGCATGTTGACATTGTACCTGCTACTAGTCTTGTCCTTCATGATGATGGCGGTCATGATTTTGGAAGATAATGTCTAAGGTGTCCTGGTGATTTTCTGCAGTGCATTTTGTTGATGGCATACACTGCTGCTACTAAGCGTTGGTGTTGAAAAGCAGTGAATGCTTATGGACGTGATGTCAATCAAGCAGGCTGTCGTGTCCTGGACTGCGTCAAGCTTCGCACACTGTTGGAGATGTGCTCATCCAGGCAAGTGGGGATTATTTCAACACACTCCTGACTCTTGTACGTTGTAGATGTTGGGCAAGCTTTGGGGAGTCAGAAGGTTGGTTGCTTGCTAGTTTCTACCTTGGTCTTGTAGCTGCACTATTTATATGCCTAGGCCAGTTCAGTTTCTAGTTAATGGTAACCTCCAGGAATTGATAGTGAGAGGACTGAGTGATAGCAACGCTGTTGAATATCATGGGGAAAATGGTTAGATTCTAGTTAGAGCTGGTAATTACCTGGTACTTTTGTGGTATGTATGGAGGTTGCTTACCATTTGGCAGTCAAGCATGGATATTGTGCAGATCTTGCTGCATTTGGACATGGACTGCTTCAGCATTTACGAAACCCCGAACTGTGCTGAACACTGTGCAATCATCAGTGAATATTCCCACTTCTGACTTTATAATGGACGAAATGTCATTGAAGTAGCTGAAGACGTTTGAGCCTAAGACACTACCCTGAGGAACTCATGTAGACATGTCCTGGTGCTGAAATGATTGTCCACCATTAACCATAACCAGAAATAGTAGGAACTGCCGATGCTGGAGTCTGAGATAACAAGGTGTGGAGCTGGATGAACACAGCACCTGGTCTGCTGTGTTCATCCAGCTCCACACCTTATTAACCATAACCATCTTTCTTTGTGCTATCTCTGTAGTTTCATTCTTTTGTCCATGTTTAAAACAGGCTGCAACATGCTAAGTATTTGAACTTAAGATGAGTTGGGCAAGTGGCTTCAGTAAAATGTCATCAACTGAAGTGCTATTGCAGTTTTACTCTCCACAAACCAGCTGAGTATTACCAGCATCTTTTGTTTTTATTCAAATATTTAACAGTATTGAATATGCCATGGTGGAAGATTTCATGCCCAAGAATTGATAGGAATGGTTTCTGTTCATGCACCTGCTATAGGAGGATGCTGGAATGGAGAGGGTTCAGAAAAGATTTACAAGGAAATTGCCAGGGTTGGAGGGTTTGAGCGATAGGGAGAGGCTGAATAGATTGAGACAATTTTCCCTAGAGCTTTGGAGGCTGAGGGGTGACCTTGTAGAGGTTTATAAAATCATGTGGGGCATGGACAGAGTAAACGGACAAGGTCCCTTCCCGGGGTGGAGGAGTCCAAAACTTGGGGGCATAGGTTTAAGGTGAGAGGGGAAAGATTTAAAAGGGACCTAAGGAGCAATCTTTTCACACAGAGGGTGGTGCATGTATGAAATGAGCTGCCAAAAGAAGTGCTACAATTACAACATTTGAAAGGCATCTGGACGGGTATGTGAATAGGAGGGGTTTAGAGGGATAGGGGCCAAATCCTAGATTTATTTAGGATATCTGGTCGGCATAGATGAGTTGGACCAAAGGGTCTGTTTCTGCGCTGTATATATCTATGACTCTCTAAGCTTGGAAAGGCAGTAAATCAGAATGCTGTAACCAGGTTCCACTTGTAATACCAATTTACAGTGATAAAAGGATCTTAAGCTCATATTGTTGCAATGCAACATCATAACAAATGGAACTAAGTTTGAACATAGCAACCAATTCAACAATTTGGGAAGCACAAACATCCAATGCCAACAGCAGTACAGAAATCTAGAAAAGGATTGGAAAACCAAGTGTTTTAACAAAGCTAACCAATGTTTTAAGAAACCTCTGCACAAGTCTTAAGTCCACCATATTATGACTGGTCTAGACCTAATCATAAATATGAGCTTGGTGCTTTCGGAAAAAGACTATCAACAGCTTTGAAATTAGGTTCTTAAGAAGGATCCTCACAGGTAAGTTGGTGGAGAAAAACTAATGAAAATGCATTGAATAAGGCCAAAAGAACAGGAGAACTCAAATAGCAAAGCATTAATTGGAGATCTTCAGAAATGTTACCCGTGCAGACAGCTGGAGAGACAAACTACTGGAAGACTGGTTTAAAATAACCCCAACAAGATTGTTAACTGCTGTCATGGAAAGTTTGGAGAAGCCATAGTTGCCTACATCTCTCAACAATTAGCACTAAAGCAATCAGAGTACATGGTAAGCATATCTTGAGGTAGAATGTTCATAGTAGCATCAGTAGCAAAATTGAACTTAAAATGGGCTTTACAGCCATTTTATTGCAGCCAGTGTTAGAAAAAAAAAGGTAAATCAGAGCAGTACATGTGTCACATTGAATCATAGGAAGAGGCCATTCGGCACATCAAGTCTGCACTGACTCTCTGAAGAGCATCCCAACCAGGCCCACACACCCCACCCCACATGGTGTTTTTACCATGGCTAACCCACCTAACTTGCACATCCCTGGACATTATGGAGCAACTTCTAGCATAGCCAATCCACCTAAGCTGTACATCTTTGGATTGAGAGACGAAACTGGAGCACGTGGAGGAAACCCACGCAGACACATGGAGAATGTACAAACTCCACACGGACAGCACCAGGAGACAGCAGTGTTAGCCACCGTGCTGCCTTACTGAGTGGTATCAATGCTGTTAAGTATTTTTCCATAATCCTCACACATTTCAGATTTGCTTTAAAATAATTCCTGCATCAGAGTTTGCAAAAATGGTTATGAAGTATAGGTTCTTAAACCGTGGTCACAACACCAATTGGATTCTCAAACAAAAAAAAATGAAGCCACTAGAACTTAAGTCGCATTAGACTCCATTCTTTGGTCTTTTCGTGGGAGTAGGAAGTAAACAAATTCCCCTCACTAAACGTTTGAATCAGTTGCAATGGCTATTAGTTAAAGTATAATATGCTGTAAAAATGAGTCTACATAAATACATCAGAGGCCTCCTGGAGCAGGTCCTCACAGCAGCAAATACCCAGAATTTTCATACTTATCTGATGTATCATATGTTGATCTATAATATGCAACCTTTAACAATTTATATACTGAATATTATTACACTGCTTAATATCTGTTTTGTTTTTGTTAGCATCTGGGGTTGCTTTAGTTTTTGAAGAATTAAAATGAATGACATTAGGAAGTGTTGCTGTTCCAAACACAGGGAAAATAAACAAACATCCAAACACTAGCAGACAAACATGCTGGGATTCAAGTACATAATTCATTACTTACAATGGTTCGTCTTGAGGTTCCCATCCTTCCAGCTCTTTGTAGCAAAAGAAGCACTGAGCAACATCAGGACCATTCTCACTTGGGGTGTGAATAAAACCTGCAGCAGCCATCTGAAAGTAATACGACAAGCTTCAGATCTAAAAAAATGCACATTAACTTTTTATAATTAATGCAAATTAATTTAATTTGGTAAGACCATAAGATGCAGGAGCAGAGGTGGACCATTCAGCCCATCCAGTCTGCACTGCCATTCAACGAGATCACTTTTTTTTCTTTATTCATTCACGGGATGAAGGCATTGCTGGCTAGGCAGCATTTATTACCCATCCCTAACTTCCCAGAGGGCAGTCAAAAATCAACCACATTGCTGTGGATCTGGAGTCACATGTAGGCCAGACCAAGTAAGGATGGCAGTTTCCTTCCCTAAAGGACATTAGTGAGCCAGATGGGTTTTTCCTGACAATCAGCAATGGCTTCACGGTCATCATTAGACTCTTAATTCCAGATATTTTATTGAATTCAAATTCCATCATCTGCCTTGGCAGGATTTGAACCGGGTCCCCAGAACATTATCTGTGTCTCGAGATTAACAGTCCAGCGATAATACCACTACACCATCGCCTCCCCTGTCTGATCTGATAATCCTTTTCCCATAAACCTTAATTCCCTTACCAATTAACATTACAGTCTCCAGCAAAGAATTCCATAAACTCACGACTTGAGAGATAAAACCAAGACAGGGAAAAGCTAAACAATCCATAATTTCACAAATGAGATTGAAAAATGGTCAGACTAGCCATTCCTGTATTTTCAGAATATGCACAGCAGGTTTTAAAAATTGTCAGAGATAGTAGGAACTGCAGATGCTGGAGAATCTGAGACAACAAGGTGCAGGGCTGGATGAACACAGCAGGCCAAGCAGCATCATAGGAGCAGAGAGGCTGACGTTTCGGGCCTAGACCCTTCATCAGAAAAGGGGGACGGACAGGTCAAGGGGGCGGGATGAGGTTGGTCGGTAGGAGATGCAGGTGCGGCTTGAGGTGGGAGGAGGGGATAGGTGGGAGGAAG